TTCCTCCCAATAATCTGAGTGGTAGCAAAGAAATGCATCTCTATGAGAGTCGGCAACTTTCCCGGAGCGGGCCCACTGGAGACAGGACTGTGTCAGGAGCCCAGGCCTCCTGGATGAGCTGGCTTTCCCCACAGCCTTGAGTGTGGGTCACGGTGTGCTGTGCTCTGCCCTACTGCCTCTTGCACTTTTCTTCATTTTGCCCCCAAAATGACTAGGCTACAGGCAGAACTGGCTAAATCAGAGGCAGCTGCTGACCATGTTAAAAAAGGTCAGGAGGAAGGATTCTTTCCATCAGGAGGCCCACATGAGCTCATGGGGCCTGATCCAACCAGTTCTCCTTGCATACTCCCTCAGGGGTAGGGAGGGGCAGAGAGAAGCCCTTCGGAGGAAGGGACTTGGGTATCAGGGGCCCCTGTGTGTGCAACAGCCACAGGGCAGAAAGAGAAGAGCACAGGGACAGAGGCAGGGAGTTTGGGATGGTCAGAAGTGGCCTAAGAGTGAACATATAGCTGGCAGAGTCCTGCCCTTAATCCCTCTTGCTGGTCTCAAGGTACGAATGAGGATGGGTGATGGAGACGGGGAATGTGGTGGCGACAGCCCTTAACCTGGCCAGACCCTCACTGATCACAGTCACCCTGGACACATGGGAGCAAGGCCAGTGGAGACAGCAGGCAGAGCCACCCCTCATCAGAGCTGGTCTCCGAGCTCAGGCCTCAAGCACATGCCTTGCTCCATTTGGAGGACTTGCTCCATTTGGGCATTTGCTTCTTAGAGCAAGTTCTGCAAACGGCAATTGGCCTCTGGCCCAGACACACTATCTGAAGGGGCTGAGCAGCAAACCAAAAGGTGTCACTTTGTTTTTCCAATCATCTGTTTTCTTTCTCTTTTTTTTTGAGATGGAGTCTCGCTCTGTCTCCCAGGCTGGAGTGCAATGGCGTGATCTCGGCTCACTGCAACCTTCACCTTCCGGGTTCAAGCGATTCTCCTGCCTCAGCCTCCTGAGTAGCTGGGATTACAGGCATGCGCCACCACACCTGGCTAATTTTGTATTTTTAGTAGAGATGGGGTTTCTCCATGTCTGTCAGGCTGGTCGCCACCATGACCAGCCCCAATCTTCTGTTTTCAAACTATGTTCGGAAGTTGTCCGCTGCGGGAAACTTCCCCCACACTAAGCCCTTGGAACCCAGGGAGAGAGGATGGGTCTATCCCAACACAAGGGCCACAAAGATGTCACAGGGCCTGCTGCCGACAGGCCTGCTTTCGTGCTGCTGCCACCTATCAGGTGTGTGTTTCTCTGACCAGGAACTCCTGTGAACAGAGGCCATGTGGCCCAATACTCGCCACATCATCCCTGGACAATCTCGTCCATGCTCTGGGGGTTGTATATGGACCTACCTGCAATTTGTTTTCTTCTAGCCCAGACCTCTCTCCTGAGAGATTCACTGAACTCAGGATCCCTGCGTAGGGCCGTGGCTTCCCTTTGACACTTCATTTGCCTGGATCTGGACTCTTTCCCTGTGTCAGGGCAGAAGGCAGAGCCAAGGGCCCTCATCATGGGAGGCAGGCATAGACTGCTGTCCTGCCTCCACAGTGGGGAGGCGAGGCTTCAGCCCTCCTTCTCCCCTCTAGTTCTGGCTATTTATTTGGGGAGACCAGTCAGAGAGTGACCTGTGTCCCCAGGTGCAGACAGAGTAGGGAAAGCAGGACACAGTCCTGAAGGTGCCAGCATCTTGCTCTCTGCTGAACTGCTGCCTCACCGCTGGGACTTGTGTGGGTGGAGCTCAGACCTGGGCCTTCCCTCTCACTGAGGAACTCGCAGAGCTGCTTGCTCCTGGCTGGGAGCCTCACACAGCTCGGGAGGAGGGCCAGGATCACGTTCTGTGCTTTCACCAGCTTCTGCTCCTCACAAGCAGCAAGAACTCCCCACGTGGGGATCTTGTACCTGAACCAAAAAAAGCAAAGCTGCTAATCTGGCAAGATCAATCCTCAAATACCACAGGAATGCAGCCAGCCTGCATGCTCTCACCAGGGACTGCGCTTCTAAGCACCCCTACAGCTCCTGCTCTTAGGCTGGAACTGGTCTGCAAAGGAGGAAGCTGCCCCCACCAGTGTGTCTGGTCTTGCTGCCGAAGCCCCACCCTTCCCAGCATAGCTCAGGCATCGCCTTCACCAGGACGTCTCCCCAGTCAATCTCTCATCACTCCTCCAGCTGAAGGACCTTCTCTGTGCCCCCACAACCCTCTGTCCTCACCTCTGGCAGAGCACATATGCCTGGATATGTGTTTGTCTCCATGCACCATTTCTCTTAGCTCTGGGGAAGGTAAGTACAGATGAGGAAGGTGAGGCTCAGAGAGGTTAAGCAACCCAGCCCTATTCACTTCCAAAACCTGTTCTCTTTCCACTATAGTCCAAAACTTCTCAAACCATCTGTGAAGAAGGATGTTTTGCTTTTTAAATTTCTATCTTGTCACAGAATGATAATTTTATGAAACAGAATAAAAATGAATTACTAGAAAAATTAAATAAGGCCAGATGTGGTGGCTCATGCCTGTAATCCCAGCACTTTGGGAGGCTGAGGATCACCTGAGGTCAGGAGTTCGAGACCAACCTGGCCATCATGGTGAAGCCCTGTTTCTACTAAAGATACAAAAATTAGCTGGGCATGGTGGCGGGCACCTGTAATCCTAGCTACTTGGGAGGCTGAGGCGGGAGAATCGCTTAAACCTGGGAGGCGGAGGTTGCAGTGAGCCGAGATCACACCATTGCATTCCAGCCTGGGCAACAGAGCAAGACTCAAAGGAAGGAAGGAGGGAAGGAAGGAAGGAAGGAAGGAAGGAAGGAAGGAAACATATAAAATATATGCTCCATTTTTAAAAGTTTTTCTTTCTTTTTTTTTTTTTTGGTAACAAATAGCTGAGACCATAGGTGCATGCCACTGTGCCAGGCCTATTTTTTATTTATTAGATTCAGGAACATAAACTGACCCTAACTGTCATAAATGTTTTCAAAAACCTTATTTCCAGTATCTCAAAAATATTGTGGCAGACCAGTTCAAATCACCTTTGATTCTATAGCACACAACAGGTTCCAAACTGCCTTTTGGAATGTCTGGGACATTCTACCAAGGCTTTGCCTGTCATTCACCTGGCAAGTTAGAAAGGGATAAGTTAGAAAGGGATAAGAAAGGGGTAAGATGTAGCTCCTCAGGTCCTGTCCTGGGGTAGGAGAAACAATGTACTCTGACACCATCAGAAACAGCAGGTTGAGGCCTAGAACTTCTAGAGCAGATGGATTTATAACCAGCTAGGTCTGCAGGATTCACCTTTGCAAACAAGTGTGGGTCCCTAGTCATCTGGGAAGGAGATCTAAAAAAAAAATCCCGCAACTTCTGGATGTCTACTGCAGCTCCACCTATGAGAACTGGAAGATAGAGCAAAGAGGAAAGAGATGGGGTGTACCATTATAGGGAACTGGCAGGCTAAATTCCTTAAATAATGGAGGAGGCAGTAAGCTCAGGCAAGATGTGGAATTAATTTAAAAGCAGAACATGGATGAGTTCCCAGAGGTGGTTCCAACACCTGACGCTAAGGAATATATGAAAAAAAAAAATGGTGGGCAGAGAAAAGGACAGGACATAAACGGCAATTCCTCCAGCTATAAGCTGGAGTCCAGGTCATGGACAGGCACTGAGGTTGTCTAGCCCATGCAGGCTACTCTTAGACACTCTGCAGAGAAGCTTTAGTTATAGAGCACTCTGCTCTTCTCAGAAAGGCCTGTACCCAAGGATTTCACTGCAGCGGGTACCTACTGAAAATATTTAAAACACTCTCCAAACAAAAGGAATCTGTATTCCCCTCCAGGTCCATGGTTCAGAGCCTCGATTCAGGACATAGGGTGGGGTTGGTGGGTTTGATTCCTGGCTCTGTGCTACTATGACCTTGAGCAAGTTGTTAGCTTTCCCATCTACAAAATGGGTATAACAATACTTACTTCGTGGGGTTGTTGTAAAGGGATTTTGCAAATTTGACTCCATAAAAGTGCATTATCACATTGACTTTGGGTGTAACGACTGTGCGTGTATGTAAAAACACTGAAACTTCCTCAATAAGAGATGTCCTTTTTGGATACATGCATTTGTGAAAGATAAAATTTCTCAAGATCTTGGCTCTTTGAACAACTGCATATGCAGTAGTGACCCACTGTGACTTTTGACTGATCTTGACAAAAGACTGTGGTGAGATCAGTCACGGTATTTCAGATGTCTGTCACGGTATTTCAGATATCTGTCACAGTATTTCAGATGTCTGTCACAGTATTTCAGATGTCTGTCACAGTATTTCAGATGTCTGTCACAGTATTTCAGATGACCGCAGTTGTCAACCTGGGTGTACACAATTACCAACTATAGTGAAATGTGTTCATACGTGTCCCTTTGTACCCATTTCTTTATGAACAGTTTGCCTGTTCCTGTGATATCCATGTGACTGTCATTAGTATACCTCTCATTCATGCCTCTCATTAGTATACCTGTTTATGCTAGGCAATAAAATATGTATGTTATTATTGCCCATTTCATTGTGTAAAGTGGCCTATGAAGTGTTCTGTAATGTTTTACGTTTATCAAATAAATCCCCTTTTAAGAATGTAAATAAATATATTTTAAATAATTTTAAAAATTATTTTTTCCAGAATGATGTTTTCAAGATTTTAATCTTTCAGAATTGTGATTTTCAGGGTTTTAGACTTTTTGGGATTCTCATCTTTTAGGATTTCCTTTTTTTTAAAATTTAATTTAATATTTTTTTTGAAACAGAGTCTCGCACTGTCGCTCAGGCTGGAATGCAATGGTGTGATCTTGGCTCACTACCACCTACGCCTCCCGGGTTCAAGTGATTCTCCTGCCTCAGCCTTCCGAGTAGTTGGGATTACAGGCGCCCACCACCATGAATGGCTAATTTTTGTATTTTTATTAGAAACAGGGTTTCGCCATGTTGGTCAGGCTGGTCTCGAACTCTTGACGTCAGGTGATCCACCCGCCCTGGCCAGCCAAAATGATGGGATCAGAGGCGTGAGCCATCGCGCCCGACTGATCTTTTAGGATTTCAGCATTTGGGACTACGGCATTCGTGATTGTGTCTTTTGGAATTATGATTGGCTCCCATTGTAAAGGCTAAATGAAATAATGAAATACGGTGGCACAGTGGCTGACATACAGTAGGTGCTCTAAAAATGGCGTGACACTTTATGTGCACAGGTTATCTGTGTCTGCCAGTGGAATGTAAGATCTCTGAAGGGAGAGGTTTTATGTAACTTATGCAGTGCTGAAGCTATAGCACCTAGAAAAATATCTGACACTTTGTTGAATGAGTTTACAGAATAATAGGATCAATGTGGCAAGTTTATAAGCGATGAGAGAGACCTGAATATGATTAAATAGTGATAAGAAGGAAACAGTGAAGAGAATGAAGATCCGGGTTCCTGCAGAGGTGACAGAGGTTGGAGAATCAGGGCTCAGGGGAAGGAACTGACCTCAGAAAGAAGACAGTACACAAGTGCCAGGACTTGATGACTCATTAGATATCTGGTTGAGAGGGGAAGGAGAAAGAATAACTCCCAGATTTCTTGCTTGGGTGAGAATGGATAGTGGTGCCATTTCCTGAAATAAGAACATAGGCTGATTAGATTTGTTGGAAATTCGGTGAGTTGGATACACTGAACTTGAGATGCTTTTGAGTCATCCAAGTGGAGCTGTCCAGCAGGAAGTTTGGTATTTGGGTCTAGAGATCAGTAGAGATGTGGGCTAGAGAGATTGAGAGTCATCAGCACATACGATGTTAGCTAAAGCAGTGGAGTGAGAAGAGAGGAGAGCTATAACTGAAACCCGGCAAACACCAACATGTAAGGACGGGTACAGGAAAAGAAGATCTCCTGCAATAGAGACTGAGAAGGAACAGAGAGGTAGGAGAACTGGGAGGGAGTTTGAACAAAGAATTAAGGAGAAGAGAGAGTTTCAAAATGGAGGAAGAGATCAATACTGCCAAATGCTTCAGAGACATCATAAAAAGAGAAGGACTATCTATCTGTCGGATTTGTCAGTGCTTTTTGGTGGTCTGGATTAGAGCATTCTGAGGAGGAGAGAAGCGAGAGTGGAGGCCAGACTACATGGATTAAGACTTAGAGGGACATGAGGGAGCGGAGAAGGTAACTGTAGCAAGTCTTGCACATTCCTGGTGGGGGTATGGGAGTGCCCAGTGTGCTCTCAGCCTAGAAGGACAACGATTCTGCAGAAGTAGAGAAGTAGATGGTATTCTATTCTCCTCCGTAATTTATGGTATGGGACAAAATTTGTCAAGGATGCCTCTCAATCTTACCACTCCTCCCTGGTGTTGTAGTGATAAAAATCCCAGAATCTTTTTCTGGAAGGGCAGAGACGGAGGGGCTTTGTAATGTGGGGATACCAGATACTCAGCTACACTGGCCAGGAGCCCACAAGCTTTCAAAGTCCCCAGGGCAGTGCAATAGGTCTCCTGTACCTTCTCATGCAAGGGTCCCAAATCAGGCAGCTGGGACTGTGTGTCAACTCTCTAGACTTCCTGCTTCAGAGCTCTGCAAAGTTTCAAGGGCCATCTTTGCACCTGGAAACTCAGCCAGCTTGGACCACAGCAATGATTCCTTAGCAGTATGTGAATCACAGACGCACAGTCACAGATACACACTACACACCCCAGCCTTCCTAAAACAAAATGCATCTCAAGAGAAGTGTGGTTTTCCTCTGTAGAGCTGGGTAAGGGAACCATTTCCACATCAGCACCTCATTAGCTACTACCAGGCATCTGGTAGGCCTCGGTACTTTGGCCACTAGCCAGCCTGCCCATGAAACAGCAGCTGTGAGAGGAAGTAGAGAGCGGTTGTTAAATATGTGGGCTTAGGTTCAAAACCTAGTTTTATCACTTCCTATCTGTGTGACCTCGGGCAAACTGCTTGACTTCTCGATGCCTCTAGTTCCTCGTATTTAAAACTTGACTAACAAGGGTTAGTCTCATTATACAATTGTTGGGAGAATTAAAACAGAAGAAATAGGAAAAAGTTTCAGCACGGGACCTCATCCAAAGTAAACATCAGTAGGTGTGAGCTATCATTGTCACTGCTGCTAGTATCACTCTGCAGCACGGACGTGGCATGGATTAGGGCTCTGCTTTCTGCTGAAACTGTTGGCCACAGGCTTAGCCTGTAGGCACCTCACTTTCTCCCAATACTGAGTGGCCCCACTGACCACCAACTAAAAGATATGACACTCAATCATGTCTTTCACCAAAGCACAAACAGCCACTCAAATGTATGAGGCAAAATATTCGCAGGAAAATGGGGTATGCCAATTATGTGTCAATTTAGGTTTTACGAGTTATATTTTTTCTTTTTAAAGAAAACATTCAAAATGTTTACTGTGACCTACTCTAGGATCTTTATTTTTCTTCCTGAAAAATAACTTATCTAATTATAAAGAAAGCTACTGAGAAAACAGAATTCACTCAATTGTCTAACATTAAATGTTGTTGAAATGATCTAACATTTATGGCCCCAAGACACATCCTCTCATTTCATTCTCGACTAATGAGTGAAGTAAGGCTCAGACTTTTCCAAGATCACGCAGCCTGTGAAGTGAGAAAGCTGTGAGAACTTTCAGTCTCCAAATCTTCATCTCCTTTCAATCTATCATATATTGGAATATGTCACAATAGTTTTCTTCAGTAACTCTCTCCACTAAAAGAGTGTCTTATCAACATTTCCCACATCCTTACACTCTCAACCTCTGGAGGGCAGAATTAATTTCCATTCGCAATACAAATGCCAAGTGTCTACTGTGTGCTAAAGGCTCTGCTAGGTGTTGGCGGCCATGAATAGACCATGCCTCTGTGCGAGAAGTTCACAGTCTCTATGGGAGAAGAAATACCAGCCAATAGTTATGTACATAATAACAAAGCTATGTGTGAGGCACTGCGGTGGTGCACAGGGTAGGGGAAAGAGTAATGGAGTGTATTTCTAGGTAAGGGAAGACTTTGCATTCCATGAGACCAAACAGATCGAAAAGCCCTAACTCAAAATTTAGAGTAAAACAAGTGCTCAATAAATCTGAGTTCCTTTGGACCTACTGCCATCCCCTCCCCATCTCTCTAATTAGAGGAAGATGTATCCAAGTGAGCAATATTCGAGGGAGAAAAGGAGGCCTTTTCAGCAGAGAGTACAAAAGTGTGACAGCAAACAGGCTAGCTTCCCAGAGAAGCAGGACTTTGGTCTGGACGGGCGGGCACATCGGCACCCCTTCCTTTACACTGCCTGCTCCCTAGTCTGCACCTAGGGATGGGAGTCAATGACTAGGTGGGTCATTCAGGGAAGAGTGAACCATAGGAAAAGAGAATGTATGCTTCACACAGCATTTGGGAATTTTTTTTAAAAGGTAAGATTTAGGTCAAGCCTAAGCCTGGTGCGAGGGGTGCACCTAGCAGAGCACTAGCAGTCCTGCACCAAGTTTGGGATTTGGGGTTGGTGCGACAAGTCACGTGGTTGGCGCGTGGCAGTGTGCGGGGCATTGGGTCTGTGGGTCTGGGACTCTAGTGGCACTGGCGGTGGCGTGGGACTGAGGCTAGGCACGTGTGCAGGGTCATGTTCTGGCAGCTTCGAACCCATGCAATGGTGATGCCAGTCAATGGGGCCCACAAGGATGCTGACCTGTGGTCCTCACATGACAAGATGCTGGCACAGCCCCTCAAAGACAGTGATGTTGAGGTTTACAACATCATTAAGAAGGAGAGTACTGGCAGAGGGTTGGATTGCAGCTGATTACCTCAGAGAAATTTGCCAGCCGAGCAGTTTTGGAGGCCCTAGGCTCTTGCTTAAATAACAAATACTCTGAGGGGTACCCGGGCCAGAGATACTAAGGCAGGACTGAGTTTACTGATGAGCTGGAAACCCTCTGTCAGAAGCGAGCCCTGCAGGCCTATAAGCTGGACCCACAGTGCTGGGGGGCTCAACGTCCAGCCTTGCTCAGGCTCCCCTGCAAACTTCGAGTGTACACTGGGCCTGGACCTGCCAGATGGGGGCCACCTGACCCACGGGTTCATGACAGACAAGAAGAAAATCTCTGCCACATCCATCTTCTTTGAATCTATGCCCTATAAGGTGAACCTAGACACTGGCTACATCAACTATGACCAGCTGGAGGAGAATGCCCGCCTTTTCCACCTGAAGCTGATCACTGCAGGAACCAGCTGCTGCTCCTAAAACCTGGACTATGCCCGCCTGCGGAAAGACTGTAGATGAGAATGGAGTGTATCTCATGGTGGACATGGCACATATCAGCAGGCTGGTGGCAGCTGGCGTGGTGCCCTCCCCATTTAAACACTGCCACATGCTGACCACCACCACTCACAAGAACCTGAGAGGCTGCTGAGCCGGCATGATCTACGGGAAAGGAGTGCAACGTATGGATCCCAAGACTGGCAAAGAGATTCTGTACTACCTGGAGTCTCTCATCAACTCTGCTGTGTTCCCTGGCCTTCAGGGAGGTCCCCACAACCATGCCATTGCTGGGGTTGCTGTGACCCTGAAGCAAGCTGTGACTCTGGAATTTGAAGTTTATCAGCACCAGGTGGTGGCCAACTGCAGGGCTCTGTCTGAGGCACTGACGGAGCTGGGCTGCAAAACAGTCACAGGTGGTTCTGACAACCATTTGATCTCCATTCAATCAAAGGCACAGATGGCAGAAGGGCTGAGAAGGTCCTAGAAGCCTGTTCTATTGCCTGCAACAAGAACACCTGCCCAGGTGACAGAAGCGCTCCACGGCCCAGTGGACTGCGGCTGGGGACCCCAGCACTGACATCCCTCGGACTTTTGGAAAAAGACTTCCAAAAAGTAGCCCACTTTATCCACACAGGGTTAAAGCTAACCCCTGCAGATCTACAGCAACGCTGGCACTGGAGCCACCCTGAAAGAGTTCAAGGAGAGACTGGCAGGGGATAAATACCAGGGGGGCGTGCAGGCTCTCTGGGAGGAGGTCGAGAGCTTCACTCTCTCTTCCCTCTGCCTGGCCTGCCTAACTTCTAAAGCAGCCGGCCCACCCTGGACGCACCTGGCGCCACAGAGGAAGCTGCCTGCTGGAGGACCCCCTTGAGAGATGTACAAACTGCCCCACAAGGGACCTACTGGCGCTTCTGTCCTTTGAGGGGGCTTCTTTTGGACTTTTTTCATGTTTTCTTCATAAATCAAAATTTGTTTAAGTCTTATTGTTAGTAATTCTGGGACAGGTTATTAGAAGTTTTTAATTTGAACCTGGCTTTCTCACAGCTGGATAAAATTATTCTAGAAAAATAAAATACTGTGTAGCCATTTAGACCATTTAGACCATGGTGTAGGGCAAAGCTATTAGAAAGCTATTAGAAAGATTCTAGCGTTTTCCTCTCCGTGGACTTTCCTTTGCCTTGCTGCAGCAGAGAGGAAATGCCCCTGTCCACAGCTTGTACACACTGCCACTCTTACTATCTTGTTACCCAGCAGCATGCCAAAGGAGAACGGAATTCGCCTCGAAGCCTCTGCTGTGTGCCGTAAATCAGAAGTGTACATTAGTCAAGTGTACACAAGGTGCACCCAGTATGGTGGGAGGGTTTTGCTGTCAGTAGCTCAAAGTATGGTGTAGAAAGGGTCTCCTCCCTCCATCCTGGGGAATCCCAGTCCCATCCTGGTGTGAGAATCAACCATTCCTGCTCCACCTGAGATAACCAACTCCCTCCCATAATCAGGAAACCAAATGTCACCTTCCCAAAGAAACTTTATTTTCACATCGCTGGAATGCAAAACATATGTGACCATTTTTAATAAGCACAATCAAATTTTTAACCACAGAATGTCTACAAGAATTATAGCTTTAAAAACATAATTTTTATATTTCAAAAACATTTGAACTCAAATTAATTTCTTAAAAAGTTAAAAAAGGTAATATTTAATGGCTTGTTTTTGTAGATGTCAAAATTAACACATCAAAAAGAGTTTTATCAAGTTCTTTTCTGTCAAAATATTGATGCTACAGAAATCAAAACCTTGAATTTACTTATTTTGTGATCAAAATACCAAGAAATACTAGCTACCCATATGAAAAAAAAAACAACCTAGAACTCAATCTCATTCCTAACACATAAAACCAAAAATAGATGCATTAATAATTTTTGTTGTTGTTGTTGTTGTTGTTGTTGAGACAGAGTCTCGCTTTGTCGCCCAGACTAGAGTGCAGTGGCCAGATCTCAGCTCACTGCAAGCTCCGCTCCTGGGTTCACGCCATTCTCCTGCCTCAGCCTCCCGAGTAGCTGGGACTACAGGTACCCGCCACCTCGCCCGGCTAGGTTTTTGTATCTTTTAGTAGAGATGGGGTTTCACCGAGTTAGCCAGGATGGTCTCGATCTCCTGACCTCGTGATCCGCCCGTCTCGGCCTCCCAAAGTGCTGGGATTACAGGCTTGAGCCACCGCGCCCGGCCTAATAATTTAAATATAAATAACAAAACTGTAAAACAGAAGAAAACAAAGGATGGCACCATCATAATCTACTATGCGTGCATGTAAATCCCAAAATTGCTATGAAGGGCAATTTGCCAATAACTCTCAAAATGTTCAAGAAGGCAGAAGAAAACACAAACATAGTAAGAAATGAAACAGAAGATATAGAAAGACCTAAATGGAACCTACAGAGATTAAAAACACAGTATTTGACATAATAATATACCAGGTGGAATTAACAAATGATTAAATGCTATAAAAGAAAAAGCTATAAATGTGAAGACATACCAATATAAACTATTCAAAATGAAGTAGAGAGAGAAAAAAGATTGAAAAACAAAAACCCAGAGCATCAGTGACCTGTGGGACAAATAAAATGGCATCCATGTAATTTGAATCCTGGGAAAGGAGATGAGGCAGAAAAAATACTTGAGAAAATATGTAAACAAGGTCCAAATGTGATTACAAAGAAGAAAACAAAACAAACAAGAAAACTATGAACCTATAGATCTGAGGAGTTAAATAAACTCCAAGCCAAGTAAATATAAAGAAAACCACAGCTGGGCATGGTGGCTCACACCCCAGCACTTTGGGAGGCCGAGGCGTGTAGATCACCTGAGGTCAGGAGTTTAAGACCAGCCTGGCCAACATAGTGAAACCCCATCTCTACTAAAAATACAAAATTAGCCAGGTGTGGTGGTGTATGCCTGTAATCCCAGCTACTCGGAGGCTGAGGTAGGAGAATTGCTTGAACCCGAGAGGCGGAAGTTGCACTGAGCCAGGACTGTGCCACTGCACTCCAACCTGGGCAACAAGAGCAAAACTCCATTCCTATGCCAAAAAAAAAAAAAAAAAGAAAGAAAACCACAACAAAGTACATCATAATAAAATTGCTGGAAACCAGTGGTAAAGAGAAAAATCTCAACAGGCAGCCAGAAGAAAATGGAAATACTACATACAAAGGAATATAGGTAAGAATGACAGAAGATGTTTTGTCAGGAATGAAGCAAGTAAATAGAGTTACATATTTAAAGTAGTGGGGGAGGGGTGGTAGAAGTGAGAACGGGGGACCGTCAACCTAGAAGCGTATACTTAGCCAAAAAATTTTTTAAAGTCTTTCAAAATTGAAGGTAAAATAAAGACTTGTTCAGACAAACCAATGCTGAAAGACTTCACAGTCATCGGACCTGCCCACAAGAAATGTTAAATGAAGTTCTTCAGGCAGAAGAAAAGGGATACCATATGGAAATATGTATTTACACAAAGGAAGAAAGACCAACAGTAAAGAAAACTTTGTGAGTAAATATAAAAGAAGTTTCCCTCTCATTACAAAAACTTTTAAAATGTTTGAACCGTAGTAAAATGCACTAACATAAAATGTACCATCCTAACCATTTTTAAGTGTACAATTCAGTAGTATTAGTTGTTTTCACACTGCTCTGTAGCCAATATCCAGAGAGGTTTTTCATCTTGCAAAACAGAAACTCTATATCTATTATACAGTAACTCTCTATTCCTGCCTCCTCCCAGCACATGGAAACCACATTCTACTTTCTGTCTCGATGAATTTGATTTCTCTAGGCACCTCATATGAATGGAATCACAAGATATTTGTTTTTGTTTAACTGGCTCATTTCATTTAGCATAATGTCCTCAAGGTTCGTTCATGTTGTAATATGTGTCAGAATTTCCTTCCTTTTTCAGGCTGAATAACATTCCACTGCTTATGCATACCACATTTTGTTTACCCTTTCATCTGTCAATAAACACTTGAGTTGCTTCTACTTTTTGGCAATGATGAATGATCCTGCTACAAACACCCTTTGGAGCCCTGTTTTCAATTATTTTTGGTATATACCCAGAAGGGGAATTGCTGGATCATACGGTAATCCTATTTTCAGTGTTTTTAGGAACTGCATCCTGTTTTCCACAGTTGTTGTACATTTTACATTCCCACAAGGAGTGCACAAGGATTCTAATTTCTCTACATGCTTGTCAACACTTGCTATGTTCTGGTTTTGGGATAACAGCCATAGTATCCTAATGGATGTGAGGTGGTATCTCTAGAAAATTATTCTAGAAAAAGAAAATACTGTGTAGCCACTTAGCCGTAATCATTCAGACCATGGTGTAGGGCAAAGTTATTAGAAAGATTCTAGCGTTTTACTCTCCATGGGCTTTCCCTAGTGATTAGTAACATTGAGCACATTTTTATGTGCTTTTTGGCCATTTGTATATCTTCTTTAGAGAAGTGTCTATTCAAGTTCTCTACCCATTTTTAAATCAGTTTTTTGTTGTTGTTGAGTATTATAAGTTCTCTATATTTTCTGGACACTGACCTCTTATCAGATATATGATTTGCAAATATTTTCTCCCATTCTGTAGGTTGCCTTCCACTCTCATTTTTAAATTATTTTAAATGATTGATTATTTCAAACAAGAATAAATAAGCTGGGCATGGTGGCTCATGGCTGTAATCCCAGCACTTTGGGAGGCTGAGGCAGGCAGATTGCTTGAGAATGGGAATTTGAGACCAGCCTAGACAACACGGCAAAGCCTTGTCTCTACAAAAAATACAAAAATTACCTGGGTATGGTGACATGTGTTTGTGGTCCCAGCTACTTGAGAGGCTGAGGAGGGAGGACTGCCTGACACAAATAGGTTAAAAAGATAGGCTGCTCCCCAACCACCCCTGGGACAGCTCAAGGGCAAATACAAACATGCTCCTTCCCACAAACAAAAGTAATTGCAAAAACCACAATTACTTTTGCACCAACCGAATAAAAGGAATGAAAACATACACCGCAATACAGCTTATTTTATAGAGGCCAGAGTGGTTATATTAATATCAAACAAGGAAGATTTTGCAACAATAATTATTTGACTATCAATAAGAAAAAGGGACATTTCAAAATAATGAAGGAATCTATTAGAAATGGGATACAACAATCCTAAGTGTATACACACCAAATGACAGAGCTTCAAAACAAATTAAATAAAAACTGATAAATGAAGACTTCATTGCCCCTCTGTCAGTAATTGTTAGAAAAAGTGTACAGAAAATCAGTAAGGATATAAGAAACTAGACACATACCATAAAACAACCTAAGCTAATTGCCATTTATAGAATACCCAAAAACAGAAGTATTTTCTTTTCAAGCACACAAAGAATATTCACCAAAATCAACCATATTTTGTCCCATAACTCAGATTTTAATCAATTTAAAAGTATTAAAATCATATAATGTATATTTGGATCACAGCAAAGATAAATCAGAAATCTATAACACAAAGATATCTGGAATACCCACAAATATTAGGAAATTAAGCAAAAATACTTCAAAAGAACTAATGGGCCAAAGTAGAAATCACAAGTAAAGTTAGATAATATTTTTAACTCAACAAAGATAAAAATACAACATATCAAAATTTGTAAGATGCAGTCAATGCAATATATAGAGTGAAATTTATAGCATTACAATGTCTATATTAGAAATAAATAAAATCAATGATCTAACTTCTAGCCTAAGGAAAAAAAAAAACAATAAATTAAAGTCCAACAAAGAGAAAAGTGAAAAAATAAAAAAATGAAGATAGGCACAGAAATCAATTATAGAGTGGAAAAAATATCAACAGACAAGAACCAACGGAACTAAAAGCTAGTTATTTGAGAGGACCAATAAAAAATGATAGACCTCAAACCAGATGAATTAAGAAAAAGAGAGAAAAAATGCAAATTACCAATATCAGGCATGAAAGAGAGGACTGTGTCTCTATCCTAGACATTAAAATAATAATAAGGGAATATTATACACAATTTTATGCTAATAAATTCAACAACTTAGAAAAAAGGCAAAACTTCCTTGAAAGACATGCTACCAAAGAAGAAACAGAAAAACCTGAATAACTCTAGAATTAAAGAAATTTAATTCGTAATAATAATGATAATAAAAACCTTCCCTGGCTAGGCGTGGTGGCTCACGCCTGTAATTCCAGCACTTTGGGAAGCTGAGGCCAGTGGATCACTGGAGGCCAAGAGTCCAAGACCAGCCCAGCAAACATGGCAAAACTCCGTCTCTACTAAAAATACAAAAATTTGCTGGGCGTGATGGTGCACACCTGTAATCCCAACTACTCAGGAGGCTGAGGCACAAGAATTGCTTGAACCCAGGAGGCGAAGGTTGCAGTAAGCAGAGATCGCGCCACTGTACTCCAGCCTGAGCAACAGAAACTCTGTCTCGAAAAGAAACCAAAAACAACAAAAGCCTTCCTACAAAGA